GAAGGAATTCCGGGCCATTCACATGCAGGAGATCGATCCTGGGTTGTCCAATTGCAGAGCATGCGGATCGCCAGTGTGGCCTCTCGCGTGGCATCGATGTCAACGCATCTGCCACGCGATGTCGCTGTGGTTCGTCGATGCGTCGATTGGGCAGCGGTACGTAGTCAAACTTTTATTTATTTGCACTTTGATTCTCTATTTTTAAATTTCTTTAAAAACATTTAAGAACCCAAATTTTCACATATTTTTTTAAAAATTATTTTCAATCTCGTTCATAATTTTTTTTTTCAAAATTTTACTTAAATAAAAATAAAATAAAATAACTAATTATTTTAAATTAATAATTAAAAAATAAAATTTTTGTCTCGGATCATTCTTTGGATTCGGGTATTATATACTTACTCAAGTAACTTTTAAAAATACATATGCTAAAAATTAACTTTGACTATATTTTGATTAAATAAACTAATAACATATTGTGGAGGAATATTTTGTCATTGTGTTTATCTTAGTCATCACAACAGATCAAGTGTTGAATCAATTATCCCTATTATAATATATATATATATATATATATATATAAAGTAGTAAAATTTATGTTATTGATAAAATTTAAACTCATAAATTTAAAGTAGAATATTAAAATTTTAACTATTATACTATTATATTATTGATCAACATTAACTATGTTTTATTAAATGCACTGATTGTATGTTGATTTAAAACTATAAGAAGTAACTTTTGGAATTAAAAATTAATTACTACATGTAGTTCATTTAAAAATTTTGGTAGTTGTAATAATTTAAACTTAATTAATAGTTGTTATGGGATATATTGGGCATGTTAATGCTCGATATTAAGTTTATCCACCATTCATATAACTAAATATAGTTAATTTTAGTTTTTATTTAAATTTTGATATATACAATTTATTTTGAAATAAAAATGGATATTAAATATTAAAATTATTTAACATTTGGAGGAATGGTAAATACTCAATTAATCTTTAAAAATATACTAAAAATTAAATTATCTACATTTTATTAAATAAATAAATAAATATCGTACAGAATAATAAATACGAAATTATTAATATACACAATACAAATAACAATTGATAATTAAGATAAACTTCAAAATAAGTTTGAGGCGAGTTGGTACAAAATGAATTATTTTTTCTCAACCAAAATTTGAAAAATCAAAAAACCAAATTTGACTATGTCTTTATTATATGAACTTCTACACTCAATTAAGGTTACCTGAAAGTTTTAGTACGCATATTAAATTTCTATAATGAAATATAAAGTTATGTTGATGGGTATATAAGTAATATGTCACACGATGAGTGTTTGATTATTAAATCTACTTAAATTCATAGCAAATTCTTATAAATGTACCAAAATAATTTAATCATATTTTATTAAAATGAACTACTAAAATACTAAATAACAAATGTAAAATTTACTAATATATCCATTGTGAAATAAATTTAAATTAGATCATTCCAATTCAACATAGATTATTATAAATTATTAAAACTACTTAAATTACTTTACCTGCGTTTTTAACATATGAACGAGCAACAAAATAAGTGTGTAATTATTAATTTATCCATGATATATTTGCGACGATAAATGGTAATCTGTATATTTAGGAAATAATTAAATAAAAATAAATTTAAACAAATATAAAAAATCATTAAACAGAAAGTGGGTAATCTTACTTTTTTTTCTCAAATAATTTTTGATAGGAAGATAATTTTATTACCTTTTTATATTTTGATATCACGATTTAATTACGAAATAAAGTCCAAGACACAGAGAAAAAAAAAAAAAAAGAACATGAAAAATAAACTGAAAGAGGAAAGTAATTTCCCGTACGGGAAACTGATAACATTACGGCTATTAATGAAGCGGTCCGTTCCCTTCATATTTTTCAAACCAAGACACGCCTCATGGCTATAGCGCCCCACCACTCACTCAATTGTCATTGCAATATTTGTTTTTTTTTTCTCCGATAAAATAGTGCTGAGATAATTAAATAAATATGATATTATTAAATTATTTTATTTAAATAAAAAGGAAATATATTGAGAACACGTCATA